CGAGAACCATGTAGCATTTCGGTGCGATGAGATCTGACATTACCATAAACTGGATCAGTATGACTCTCACCCTAGAGATCAAAGAGACATAAGAGGATCATTATGATACCTGTGTAACTTGATATGATCGACAGCACGGGCTTAACCACACTCGCCTGCTAAGACATTGTCTGTCCCATCCGTTATTTACAGGCATTTCACGGTGTAACTTTGAGAGAAAAAGATATTTCAGCTCTCACAGTTCGTTTGTAAACGATCAGAAGACCCGAGTGAGACCGAGATGTTGGTTCATGACTTGTCGCAACACTTCACAAATGATCCACCAAGAGTAATGTTTGATATCGTTTCTCTCCTATTATGGAAATACCCTCGTGGTCTCGGAGCTAGCATGCCCTCGTCGGACGGACGAGATGGACGACCGAGCTGAATTTTTCCGACCAAGAGAGATTTGACGATGGTAGGGTTAATGGGTCTGGTCTCGGACAAAACAAGGCGTTCTATGATTGATCAATGCATTCATTCTTTCGGTCGGTCAGTGGTTATGGAATGCTTAACTGCTTGGCATACTGTCGATAGATCACGGGTAATTAACTTGTTTATTCAGTACAAGGCTTACTTGATGAACAACATCTGATCAAAGATCATAGATTGATAAGGCGAAAGAAAGATCAAGGCTGAGCTTACGTGGGGGGGCATGACATCCTTTATTATGCCGTTTGCGGCGCCATAGTTTCAACTCCAGGCGAGCGGGACGATTCTCTCTAGTGAGAACCCGGCACTTGAGTGACTAACGGAATCTCTGCTGTGACCGTTCCCGGCCTGACCAAGTCTGTTTCTGGCAGCTCACAAGAAAATTGACCGATAGATTGAGGAACTGGCCGACGAGGAACTGACCGAGCAGGAATTCATGCCGAGATGAAGGGGACGTTTCCACTGGGAATGTGACCCTTGTTATCTCGATATGGATGATTTTTGATACATACATACATACATACCCTGTAAAGGTGCATTCGGAAGGCGTTTTCCGCTCCCTGCTTTGGAAATATTCTAGAAGACCAAGCAAGAGTGTATGTACATACATGAAATAAAGAACTTGCATGCCGTGGCGGCGTGGCATGGCATATGTCCTTGTTTAGCTTGACTCGTCATGTCTCGTCTGCGCCTCATTTTCAACGTCATGTCTTGTATTGTCCTAGCTAAATTAGTTCATTAGACAAGCATAAAAACTCTAATAAAATACGCATCAACCAAGATTACAAAACATGGTGGAGACTGTATCCGAGTGGGATATCTATCGACGAGAGTGACATTCATTCCCTCTTCTCATCCCAGCATTCGTCAAAAGATCCACCGAAAGATCCTTAACAGTGAGAGATTATTCAGTTCCTTGGCTTGTGATGTCCCGTGAAACAGACGGAAAATCAACCAGATACAAGCTGCTCTATGCGTAACAGGGGATTGCCTCATATGGACCACGGATCCTTATGTGAGCATTAGTGATCCAAGACAAACTCTGCTACCCCCCCAGGCCTGCCCTGACTAGCCTGATTGTTTGGGTTTTTTTTCTTTCTTTCTAAGCTTAAACTACCTAAAGTTATCGTCAAACAAAACATTTCAGGGTTAATCGCCTGAGGGCTGAATGACTCGTTGCGTTGTTAATGCCAACCACTAGAGAAACATACTCAGGAATTGCACCTTTCTCAACTTTACTAGTGCACAGTCAATCAAAGCCCGATCTAGTAACCGTCTGCCGCGTTTTAAACTTCGGCGCTGTTGAACTATGCGATCGAGGTGTGAATGACATGAGTTACAGGGATCATCATGCCAAGAAACATGCTGTATCACTCCCAACATAGCCCTCCACATTGTATCCCACCATCGTCACCTCGAGAACGGATGAATTCTGAACCGGAGCCTTGGGCCAAGTTGCCAAGATTGTGAATGCGCGTAGGCATATGACGAGTAATGTAGCATTCTTGATACCATATACATAGCAACAACGGGCAATATAGACCAAAGAGGAATGTAGTATAACGAGAGGACCTCTGATATCTTCTATTCACTATCACATACCTACAGAGTCCAAGTGCCCATACAAAAATCCTTTCACCTGTTACAGAAACGGATCAGATAGAGTAGAAGCTGCTACAGGCGCAATTTCGGCAGTGGACCCAAGACAGTGGCACTCCGATGCGTGGCTCATCCTCTGCCGTTGCATCGCATTACGTATCGATGTCATTGGTCTTGGTTAGTTGTATCTCCATCTGTTAGACTTTGCAAGGAGGCTTGACATGTCAGTCGCTAACACAGACAGAGCCGATGGGTTCGTTGTTAATCAAGACAAGGCAAACACCCTTGACCATGGCCTTGACCTTGACCTTGACCATGGAATACATGTTTCCGTAGTATTCGGTCTTGACATTCCCTAAAGCTTAAAAGAGCCGCTTCGCCCTTCTGATCAACACTTCTTATTCTCCAGCCAAGACACTCTTTACTACCCATCACACACTCATTCTCATCACATTACAATGCGCACTCAGATCCTCACCAGCGCCCTCCTCTCGGGGGCCATGGCTGCTCGTCCTTTCCTCGAGCAGCCCGACACTGGTCTCGAGATCATCGTCGGCGATCTTCCCACCGGAAAGCTCCCCAAGCTCGAGCAGATGATCGGCCTCCCTGACTTTGAGTGGGCTGCTAAGAACTACCTCCCCATCGAGAACTACACATACTACCGCAACGGTGCTGCTGGCGAGTGGTCGTACCGCAACAACCTCGAGGTTTTCCAGCGTTATCGCTTCAAGCCCCGATCCATGGTTGATATCACAAACGTTGAGAACACTCTGCCCACCAAGATCCTGGGCCACAACTTCTCGGCTCCCTTCTTCATCAGCCCTTGCGCCAGGGCTGGTAACGCCCACCCTGATGCTGAGCTTAACCTCATGAAGGCTGCTGGTGAGGGCGAAATTCTCTACATGCCCGCTCTCTACGCCTCTCTCACCATTGAGGAGATCGCCAAGGCCAAGTCTGAGGGTCAGGTCGTTTTCCAGCAGCTCTACCTTACCTCCAATGACACCGAGACACAAGAGCTCCTCGACCGCTCTGAGAAGGCCGGTGCTGCTGCCATCGTCTTCACCGTTGACTCTGCTGCCGACGGCAACCGACACCGTGCTGCTCGATTTGGTGTTGGTTCCGCTGACTCTGACTACTCCTACATCACCTGGGACTACTACAAGAAGCTCCAGAAGATGACCAAGCTCCCTGTTATCATCAAGGGTATTGGCTCTGCCGCCGATGCTAAGCTTGCTGTTCAACACGGTGCTCCCGCTATTATCCTCTCCAACCACGGTGGTCGTCAGCTCGATGGGAGCCCCTCTGGTCTTGAGGTCGCTCTTGAGATCCACCAGGAGGCTCCTGAGGTCTTCAAGAAGATTGAGGTCTACGCTGACGGTGGTGTCCGATATGGCGCTGATGTCCTCAAGCTTCTTTCTCTCGGCGTCAAGGCTGTTGGTCTTGGTCGTCCATTCATGTACTCCAACGTCTTCGGTGTCGATGGTGTCAAGAAGGTCATCGACATTCTCAAGCACGAGATTGCCATTGACGCTGGAAACTTGGGTGTTCCCGATATCCAGAAGATCAACCCCAGCTACGTAAGTTCTTATTTGAATGCTCAAGTCTGATTAATCGCTAACAACATGTTTAGGTCAAGTGGCAATTCAACAACTGGAACCAGTAAATATGCATTGCGATGGCGTTAGGTTGTTGAGCTGTGGTGCTGGTACATACACATCTTGATTCAATTGTTTATATTTCATCATACATATAGATCCGAGAACATAGAGCATGAGTCTTTTATTACTTCAAATACTAGCCCGAATCCTTCGTGAAACTCGTACCTTGCGGTTCAATTGTGTTTCCTCACAGAGTGTATCTTAATAGTCATTATATGATCCTATTACTTGGCTCTCTCTTGTACCCCAGACAACATTATTTCTTGGTTGTTTGTTTAATATTTATGATATGACAAATGGAAGAGAACAAAGGGTAGCATCCGTAGGCCCGTATGTGTTTATGTTGCCGTCGTATACAACACAGATAAAGCACATAAATTCTAGAGTTCCGATTAGTTGACATGCAAGACATGCATATGCAGGTGCAGGTCTGAAACACATAAAATCATCCTCTATTACATACGAAATAATCCCCCATCCCGACATGGGCCGTGTCTTGTACACGGGAGAGTCATATCATGTCGAATGATCAGTCTCAGGATGAACTCACCAAAGGATTCATTTACTTGAAAGATCATTTAATCGTTTAAACTTCTGGTCGTAGTCGGATTGAAGGATTGCTGCCTACAATCAACGCTCATCCCGGCCCCGATCCGGCCGGCTCCGGGTGTTTCCCGACTTCTACCGGAGCATATTCCCTGCTATAAAAAACAAAACAATGGCCACCTGAGCTGAAGACGTGTCCCTTTGTTTACAGCTCCAGCGTCTTGCAGATAATGTCACGTCCGTGAAGCACCGAGGGCCTATAGATTCGTGATTGAGGTGGAACACAGGCCTTTCAGCTCTTATGTCGTGCAGTTACATACATGGATCATCCATCTACGATCTCCCGGCGGCCCCACGGGGCGGTATGGCCCGAGTTACAATCCAACAGGATAGTACATTGTTGTACTGTTGAGGTTGAGTTATAAATACTCGGAGATGTCCTGGGCCCTTTCTCATTTTCTGTTCTTGTCCGGTTTGGTTGGCTATTGATTTTCACTCTATGTGCTTCTTTGACCGTATCACTTATACAGAACCCTACCAAAGTTGCGTGGTCTTTAGATCTCCCGACACAGTCTCTCATAAGCTCTCACAATAGCCGGCTGTACTCTAGTCATCCTTGTCACTTCGATCCCAGGCCTGCCACTTTACAATACGAATCTTTACCAACTTCCTATCGGCAGTTCACAGATAGTCTCAACCTCGATAGATCATTCACCATAGCCCAACATGCCTGGATCTATCAAGTCTCTTAAGCGTCGGCCTACAGCCAAGTCAGCTGCCAAGCGCATCGGCCGAATGTTCAAGCGCACAAACAGCGATGACCCCGAGGCAACTTCACCTGCAGACTCGGGCTTCTCCAAGGACTCGTTTGATAGTTCTCGAGTTTCGACATCGTCTCGATTCTCTACATCCTCACGTATGACTACAAAGGAAAATGTCGAGCAGCCTCGCCCTTCTGTATCTCGGTATGACACTGCACCACCGAAAGAACGCGAAGCGGTACCCCCTCACCCGTTCTTCTCGTCCAACTCAGAGCCGCTTCTTGAGCATGAGAAGCCTGTTGGGCCTGGCGTGCCAGCTGAAACTGAGAAAGTGATTGAACCTGGAACTTTGCCGTCACCTGTAGACAAAGAGTCCAAGGATAAACCCAAGATGTTGGCTGAGCAGAAGCCAGAGCCTGTCGAGACACCCAAGAATTTTGAAAAGACAGAAGAGCTACCCCAGCCAGTCTCTGCACACAAGCCAGTACCGCGTCCTTTGCCTGAGCCCCCGACAAAGAAGAATGTACTTCCTGAACCCGAATCGCCAATTCTCCCAAGAAAATTCAGAGAGGAGTCTAAGGTCACCCCTCAACCGATGACCAAATTCGAAGACAAGATAACACAGAAGCTTGAGTCAAAGGTAGAATCCAAGCCGATAGCTGAGCCGGTCAAAAAGACCATAGTTCCCCCCCCGACTGTGGAAGACGAGCCAGAGCCTGTCGTCATGCCCGCCAAGGAACAAGCAAGACCCAAGCTGAAAGCTGAAGTCAAACACAACCCTCCTAAAGTTGATTATCAAACAGTGTCTAAGGCTCAGCATAAGGATGTCCAGCCAAAGGTCGAGCCCAAGGTCCAAACAAAGACTCAGACTCACAAGGAGAGCACAACTATGCAGTCTCTTACACCTGAAGTCACTCAAAAGCCATCAAAGGCGCCAGCTCTTGAAGTCTCAGTTGCTTCATCAGCGCCAAATGTTCCCATGACATCATCTGCTATAGCAATATCTTCTGCCCCAAGGGTTGCTTCCATCCCCAACACAGCATCGGTTCCAATATACTCAGTCACACTCAGCACAGCAACAGTGTTTGTGCCCAAGACTGCTCCAGCTCCTTACACAGCTCGAGCCCCTATGACGGCCCCGGCTCCGGTCATAGCAACAGCACCCAAAGTTGTCATGTCAATGCTTAGTTGGACTCTACCAAAGCCTGCTCCGATCCCTAAGCGAGCTCATTCTCCAGCAACCTCGTGGATCGTGTCTTCTGCTTGAAGTTTGATAATTGATAAACTGCTATAATTCGAATAGTTTCCTTTGTTTATGATGCCTGTTATGCTTGAATAATTCTTTATGTGTAATTGACCGAGATTGACACAGAATACGCAATAAAACAACTTAGCAAACTTTGAACCCTGATCACACATAGCTATGAACGATTATCTTGACCTTGGTACGATAAGGCGACATGATTCAAGTTTCCATTCCTGAACAGTCTATCTTTACTACCTTAGTAATTTGAGGATTTCTCAAGATGCCCTTGTGAAATCAAGCCCTGAACGAAAGCAATGACCGCTTTGATAGCAACAGGCTCAATAGTTCCGCGTATATCCCGTTGAGGGTCGAATGATGCAATCGTCAACGATACCGGCTTTGTCTTTGACGGGATCATCTTCAAGCATTTCTCCAGATCATCTTCCAGCAGTCCACCATGCGCAGAGAACTTGTTGACACAACCGACAGAAAGATCGAGAGCGTCAAGATCCAAGTGCACCATAGTTTGACCAAACTTCTTCTTATCGAGGACCTTGCCTAGTTCACCCTCAAAGTCAACATGCTCCTCTAAATCTCCCCAAATGACGGGGAATCCTGCCTCCTCGACTCGAGAGCGCTCAAGGTCTGTCACATCTCGCATACCGCAGTGCACAAGGTTTTTCTTGAGGTCCATGGCCTTGAATCCGCGAATATCAGCCAAGAGAGTTTTCCAGCAGAGACCTGCCATCATGGCAACAGCCATTGAGTCAAGATATCCACTCTTAAGAACATCAGGCGTGTTGAAGTCGTCGTGAGCGTCGAACCAAATACAAGAAGGTATTTCTCCAAGCGCAGTTGTTAAACCGGCTTGGACACCGACAGTGGTTGAACAGTTGCCGGCCAAGATGATAGGGAACTCACCCCCGCGAGTGATGTTGTCGACAGATACCGAAGTCTGATACAAAAGCTGGAAGAGGCGACTGATATCACCGTCAAAGTAAGCAGCAGACTCCGTCTCGAACAAGTGGACAGTCACGCCGAGGTCGCGAATTGCCTGGACGATGCCGGCTTCGAGAAGCGCTGTTGGTCCAGCCCCGACGGCAACATCTCGGATACCAAGGTCATAGGGAGAGGAGAGAATAATTATGGATTTTGCGGGAGACATGGTGGCGGGAGATGCAGAGTAAGGCTTATTGTGTACTAGTGATGTTGACTCATAACAATGGGAACTTATTCGATGACTTGACCAAAGTTAGTACACAGAGTGATATGAAGTATTGGCATGAAAAGGGGAAGAGGAAGTATTCAAGACGACGACCAGTTCTCTCCCCTTAAATATGTGACCGTGGTAACTCCTTTACCCTTGCCAAACGGAGGCAGTATGGATATCAGGCAGGTATCTCCAAGGCCGTAACCAACCACTGATAAATACTAACAGAACGATAAGACAGTTCTTGCTTTGATACTCTTAACAAGATGTCGTTCTTATCTTGAGCCTGACAGAATCGGGGTCAAGGTTGAGTCAGAGAGGAGCCACTGGTAGTTCTAGCTCTGGCTCGTCCAGGGAAGGGCGCGCATTTTGACAAACACATTGATCAATGACTCCAACTCCATAGAACGACCCATGCCTAGCTAGACCTGGAAACCTCAGTCAATAGTTCTAAGCATATTCATTCACCCAATCAATTGACCTTTCAAGACTCATTGAATTCAAATCTAGTAACTGTCTTCTTCCATCCAGAAACACCCCTAACCCAATTGATCATATTCCTGAGTCCTCCGCTACACGGGTCCTCTATCCCGTCCAACCTATTGAACCAAAAGCGCCAGCTAAAAAAGAAACCACTCATGCGTACTCCAGTGTGTCGCCTCCTCGGCGCTCTCCAAACAGATATGCTGCCTCGAGACAAAATCGTCCATGTCCTCTTTCCATACGTCTTTCGCTGCCGTAGCAGATCAACACTGCGTCAACGATACCGCTCAGGATACCTTCCATCGCGCCCATAACAGAGTATCCAATGAAACTAGCCATCATACCAACGACATAGGCATAAGCAGAGCCTCGGACACCTACGCCATCTGGCAGCTGAATTCGAAGCTGCTTCGCAGTAATCACCCAGCCTGCAAAACCAAGACCCGTGGCCATGATCAGACGCGTTGCCACAAGCAGCAGTTTGGCGAGTCGATAGGGCAAAAGTCCATTAGGCTGTCCGCGATTTCGCAAAGCTCGAGGGGTCAATGTAGTTGTAGGGACCGTCGGGGATACAAGCTCCATCTGATCCAGGCCCCTAGCCGATGTAGCAAGATTCTGAGAATGAATAGCAGAATAAGTAATAGTGAGCGGGTTCATCAACGCAATGACCGGTGTTGGAATCCAAAATGAGGCAATGTTTGTGACTGCAGCTCCGAGTTTCCTGGGCAGCAAGATCAGAGGTGCTCGAATCAGCAGAGACAAAAGAGTTGATTCGCATAGACTGCCAAAAATGGTCGTGAGGGCATGGTTGAGAGCAGCCGAAACAATCTCGCGCGAAGGCGTAGCAGGCCCAGCATTACGGTGAAAGTACCACTGGGATACTGTTGCGGCTGTGGTAGCACGATGAACGGCATTGATCACCGAGACCGTCCACATATAGAGGAAGATGAACGCAGCTCCGAGCCACCAGCTTGAAAGCTGAATTACGAAACGGAGCATAGACTTGCTGAAATGACCACCCATGAAGACCCTGGTAAACATAGCGAGCCATGCCCAGGTCCACACGACAATCAAGGCTAAACATCCGAAACCAACGAACAGCAGCGCTGAGTTCTGGGCTAGAATGCGGCTGGAAAACTGAAGAATCTCAATCGCCTGTTGGATAGCGCGTCGCCCTCGTACTACGAGCCAAATCCATAATATGCAGGATATTGCAGGGATGATGGAAGCCCATCTCATGACTGAATCCTGGAAACTGCTTCCATGCCATCGGCCTTTGAAAGACGACACAAAGGAGTATATCGAAAAGGAGAACAGGATAACTGGCACCGCAATCAAGATCACGCTGACCAGGGGCCGCACAAAGGACCGGAGAGCTGCCAGCCAAATGAAAGATACAAACACGGCTACTACTGTATCCACCGCAAGCATATGAAATGACTTTTGTAGTGTAGTGTAAATGGTATCACCGACAGGGCTTTTCCGTGGTGATGTATGAAGCCACACTAAGAAGAATGTCGAGAACATGCCAGCAAGACTGATTAAGAAGATCCAAGCAAAGAAGGGATCATGTCGAAAGATTTCACCCTCGATGTATTGAAAGGTCGTCTGTATAGGCTCTTCATCCCGAGGAGCACCTCGCTGTATACTAGCATCGGTCTCTGTCGTAGATTCTCGCCTCGTCATAAATGGTGTTCGTTCCGTATCTGTACCCTTAAATTGCTGGAAAGCCGGAGGACTGCTTTCTCGTGGAGTTTGTCCTCCCAAAAGCGAAGCCGGAGGGTCCTCATCTGGATCATCTTGCGACTCGAGCCCAACGTCAACCATTTTGCCCTTAACATCGGTTCCATGACTGCTGTCTCGGTCTAGACTTGAACGAGTATCGTCTTCGGCTTCTTCTCCTATGGTATCTCTCGCAAGTCCTGGGCGGTGAGTGCTTCTTGTTCCATTCCAGCTGCTTCGAATACCGCGGCGCATGCTCATATCTCGATATGGGTCTTCATGATTCAAGCTATCCTCCAAAGATCCCCGGCTGTGGGCGTCGGACTCAACACTATCGGCGAGTTTGCTGGCAGCTGCTACCCGTCTTGACCTCTGGAGAGCAAACATATCGGCAGCCTCTCGATCCCTCTCTTCCTCGTCGTCCTCTTCCCGAAACTCGTCCAAGGTGCTGTGGAATAGCGGTGCATCCTGGGCAGCTGATATGCGCGAAGCGAAAGCTAGTTGACCAAACCGAGACCCGGCGCCGGTTTGTTGATATGGGTTTCCTCCATAACCCCGACCCAAGAAAGATCGACTTGGTCCGTTTCCTCGTCCTGTTTCGCGTTGATTCCGTGTGGAGCGGGACGGCCACTCTGATTGCCGTGGGGGATTATCGTTGTTATCGGCTTGTCCGAAGTTCGATAGCCTGGATTGTGACTGGGCTAAGAACCTCGATGCATCTAGAGAATCGAGTCAGCTTGCTTGGAAGACGGCGAAGAGAATAATAGGACATACACTCCGAAAACATCGCGCGCTCTTGACTCCTTCCGCCTCACGTGCGGGCAAATATGTAGGAACCAGTCCTTGTTGATGTAGATATCTGACGTGACGTAAATACGGTGATAGGCAGCCACAGGTATTGCCGTGTAAGCGCAGAAGACGATTGTTGTTTGGATTACCGGGTCGCAATAACGGAGGCTGGTAGATGAAAAGCGGAGGTGGTGAGGAGATAAAACTGTCGTCCAGGCAAAGGCAAAAAAATCACGGCTGAGATGCAGATGAATAAAAGGTTAAGGCAGAGAGTGGTGGAAGTACCCGACCCAGGTCATGAGGCGGCAGATGGCAGATGGACGGTCCGGGGCTTGGTTATCAGCGAATGAGTCGCTGACCGATTGCGTCTACTCCCAGTGCAGTCAGTGCCAGAAGTGCCTAGGCAGATCCGCTGCGAGGACCCCTGTTAGTGGACCTAGGTACCTTAACGGACAGAGCCACCTGGGCAGGCGGTCAATGACCTGAGGACGCGAGCACCTCAGGCGCCACAGGCAGCGAAGACCTGGAGGCACACGACATGTCTAACAAGTACTGGCTGGAGTCAAAGAGCGGGTTGAGATACCTTCACGTGAGGTCTTGGACCTCAAGGTGCACGCAATCACTCTCGCATTCAACTCCACTTTGTTGACGATTCTTTGACTGCATGTTGTTGCCACTAAACAGTTGCGATAGTGATCGTCTTTGTTGACGAGGCATCCTATCTCATTCACATCATAACGACTGTTTTGAAACTCTCTTGACTCGTCGCTACTTGCCAAGTTGAATCAAGCTTCGCTTGGTCTTGTGACACTTTGAAGATCTCTGAGTCTCACTCAGTCCTCACGCGGAAGCAATTTGCTTGCGATATCAAACACATCGACAGATGACTTTTCCTGTATCAAAGAAACAGATCAAACGACTCTAATCCCAAATATAGTATTGATACATTCACTTATATATACTTATCAAAGACAACAAAACACATCAACTGACCCAAAGACCCAAGGACTAACAAGACGTTATCGATCCATTCCCCTTGCGTCACCGATAACTCCCAAGAAACCTCTAATCCCCATTCGGAGAGGGCCCTTCAGGCACGAGGTGCAGCACCAAAGCACCCTCGAGGTTCCACTGATAACTACTGGATCTGATCTGATCTGCTTGGTCGTCGAGTTGCTTCACTGAGTTAGCTTGCCTGCTTGTGTCGTGCAATGCTGTAACTCGTGACAGCTCAGCATCTCAAACCACAGGTAGGTAGCCACAGGCGCCCCAACATCTGACTTGTGCTACTCTCCAGTTCCCTCCTCATAGCGTGCCATATTTCCTGGTATATCTACTAATTATGAACTGTAAAAACACAATATTTGTCTCATTTACGCTATTTTGCTCTTATCGTCATTCGGTGACTATCGCCATCTCTAACTAAGTCTGAATTTAGCCCGCCCCGAGCCACCTTTAGCTTCTAGCTCCCTCAGATAAACCACCCAGCTTCCTCCAACCCTAAATTTCTACCACTTACAATCCATCCCTTCTCATTACCAAGTCACGTTCACGAAACACCAGCATCACCGAATCAGATACTTGTCTTATCTTACTTTGTACCTCGGGTTTGACGTCGCACCACCGCAAAGGACAGCTTGCACGTGCTTAACTCCATCCTCTTTAGCTCGAGGAAACCAAGCCCTTCGATCAGCTCGTCTCCAACGAACCTCTCCTCTTCAATCCTCATCATCCTTCTCAGTCTCTTCCCATGTCGACCACACCGTGGGATTACATCGCCAAACTCGTCTGCATCGGCGACTCAGGATGCGGCAAGTCTAGTCTTACCATCCGTCTCTGCGAAGGACGCTTTTCGCCTCATCATGACGTTACCATTGGCGTTGAATTCGGCTCCCGTATCGTCCCCGTCGGCCCTCCTCACTCAAAAATCGGCGCTGCCAACTCCTCAGACCCCGATAACA